ATGGAGATTTAGAGAGGAGAATGAGAAATTAAAGAATAAGAGAAAGAATAAAGTGAAAATAACATCAGAAAAGAGGTGAAAATGGGAGAAAAGGAAAACAGTGACAATGAAAATAAGAAGGGAGAAAATACAGGTATATCATAACAGAAAAAATGTTAGAAATGCAGCTGGGTGTGGTGGCTCACGCCTGCAATCCCAGCACTTTGGGAGGCAGAAACAGGTGGATCATGAGGTCAGGAGTTCGAGACCAGCCTGGCCAACATAGTGAAACCCAGTCTCTACTAAAAATACAAAAAATTAGCCTGGCATGGTGGTGGGTGCCTGTAGTTCCAGGTACTTGAGAGGCTGAGTCACTAGAGTCACAAGAAACCGGGAGGTGGAGGTTGCAGTGAGTCGAGATTGTGCCACTGCACTCCAGCTTGGGCGACAGAGCAAGACTCAATCTCAAATAAATACATCTTTTTAAAAAGAAAGAAACAAATCTGAAAGAAATGGTCTCTGTAAGGCCCACTTCTGTAAGGAAGCATAGGATGGGGAATGGGAATATTGAAAAGGTCTTCATACCTCTCTCTCCTACCCAAGGCTGAGCGTGGCTGAATCCTTAATAAAGGCAATTGGCTTCCACAGATAGCAAGGTATCTTGGAAAGGCTGGGTCTGACCCACAATGACTGTATATCAGGGACGGATGGCAGGACTTCCCCTCCCCACGGACATCATCACCTTGTCACCCACTGCCTCAATGACCTTGTTTACTGTCCATCATTTTCATGCACCCAGAGGAACGACAAATCGCTCAGAAGCAAAATGATTCTCCTGGGAAATTTACTGGGCTTACTGAGAAAGCGTGTAAAGTCACCTCTGAGGATGTTCAGTTTTCCAAGCTGAACTACATCATTAAGAAAACTTCAGGATCCAGAAAAGTGATCAGAAGTTTCACTCAGCTGATGTTACCACATGATTTGCTATAACCCAACCACGGGCAGGCATCGCTCAGGATTGTAGCATTCATCGCCTACTACAGACTGTCATTTAATTCTTTTTGGCACAATATAAACATTTGAATGCCTAAAATCTCACTGTTAACTATTTCATACGTAATGTATCAGACATAAAAATAGCAAAAAGAAGCTGGGTGTGGTGGCAGTCACCTGTAGTCCCAGCTACCCAGGAGGCTGAGGCAGGAGAATTGCTTGAACCCAGGAGGCAGAGGCTGTAGTTAGCTGAGATCGTGCCACTGCACTCCAGCCTGGGTGACAGAGCAAGACTCCATCTCAAAAAAAAAAAAAAAAAAAAAAAAAGCAGCCAAAAGAACAGATATTTATTTTAACAGCACTTAATTAATAGAATATTATCAATATCTCTGAGAACCTATGTGTGCTTCTATAAATTACTGTGTTCCCATTTTTCTTCAGGTTAATTATTCTTGAATGCTTTATTTATTATCTCTTAGGTTTTTCTCATAGGTTTCGTGCATATATATATTTTGTTCAATAAATAATGTTTGGGTTTGACTTCTATGGATAGCATTATAACGTAAGTATGCCTCTCAAACTTGGATTGTTTAATCCTCGAAACTATTTCTGTGGAATTACGGAAGCTTCATCTTGCAGGTGTCGTTAATTCCCTTTTCCAGCTGCATTGTATTCTATTTTGTTATTATGCTCTTGTTTTAATCCTTCTCAGGTTGATAAGTATTAGGCTTTGGCTTATTTTTTTTTATAGTCCAGAACACCAGAACAAGCAGATACAAACACATTTAATTTATATTAAAATAAAAAATCTTCTGTACAGCAAAGGAAACAATCAACAGAATGAAGACACAGAGTCTAGAGGCTTGGGAAAGGGGAGAACATGTCTTCAAACTATTAATCTGACAAGGTACTAAAATCCAGAATATCCAAGAGACTCAAACAACTGAACAATCACACACACACACACACACACACACACACACACAAACATACACACACACACACACACATATAATCCCATTGAAAACTGTACAAAGGATCTTAGTAGACATTTCTCAAAAGAAGATATATAAATGGCCAACACATATTTGAAAAAACGCCTAACAACAATAATCATCAAGGAAATGCAAATCAAAACCACAAGGACACATCATCTCATTCCCAGTTAGAATGGCTATTACCAAAAAGTCAAAAAAGAAGAAATGCTAGGCCGGGCGCGGTGGCTCACGCCTGTAATCCCAGCACTTTGGGAGGCCGAGGCGGGTGGATCACGAGGTCAAGAGATCGAGACCATCCTGGTCAACATGGTGAAACTCCGTCTCTACTAAAAATACAAAAAATTAGCTGGGCATGGTGGCGCGTGCCTGTAATCCCAGCTACTCAGGAGGCTGAGGCAGGAGAATTGCCTGAACCCGGGAGGCGGAGGTTGCGGTGAGCCGAGATCGCGCCATTGCACTCCAGCCTGGGTAACAAGAGCAAAAGTCCATCTCAAACAAAAACAAAAAAAAAAGAAGAAGAAGAAATGCTAGTGACAATGCACAGAAAAGGAACTCTTATCTACGGTTGGAAATGTAATTTTGTAGAGCTTACATGGTTTGGATGTTTGTTCCTTCCAAACGTCATGCTGAAATGTAGTCCCCAGTGTGGGAGGCGGGGCTTGGTGGGAGTTGTTTGCGTTATGAGAGTGGACCCCTCATGAATGACTTGATGCCTCCTTGCAGTATTGAATGAGCTCCTGCTCTGAGTTCATGTGAGAGCTGCTTGTTTAAAAAGAGTATGGCACATCCCCACTCTCTCTTGCTCCCTTTCTCACCATATGACATGCTGGCTCCCTTTACCCTTCCACCATGACTGTAAGCTTCCTGAGGCCCTCCCAGGAAACATGCCCAGCCAACATGCTTCCTGTACAGCCGTTTCTTTATAGATTACCCAGCCTCAGGTATTTATAGCAATATAAATGGGCTAAAACAATGAAGGAAAACAGTATGGATGTTTCTCAGAAAACTAAAAACGGAACTGCCGTACAATCCAGCAATTCCGCTACCGGGTATTTATCTAAAGGAAAGGAAATCAGTACATCAAAGGGATTGCTGCACCCCCATGTTTATTGCAGCACTCCTCACTATGGTCAAGACAGGGAGTCAGGAACACATTTGCTGAGTGTGGTCTTCAGCAGATGAATGGATAAAGAAAACGTGGTGTAGGCCGGGCGCAGTGGCTCACACCTGTAATCCCAGCACTTTGGGAGGCCGAGTTAGGCAGATTGCCTGAGCTCAGGAGTTCAAGACCAGCCTGGGCAACATGGTAAAACCCCATCTCTACTAAAAACCAAAAAATCAGCCAGGCATGGTGGCGGTCACCTGTATTCCCAGCTACTCAGGAGGCGGAGGTTCAAGAATTACCTGAACTTGGGAGGCAGATGTTGCAGTAAGATGAGACCGTGCCACCGCATTCTGGCCTGGGCAACAAAGAAAATTCTATCTCGAGATACATAAATAAATGAATAAATACAAAAGCACGAATGATGAAAGGTTATACTGATAACTTGAGTGTATTAAGGTAAAAAAAAAGAAGAGGGATCAAACAGAAATCACAGAAAGATGTAAACAGCAGATGATAGTTTAACATACAACAAAATATTTATCGCCAGTACACAAACTCTTTGTTAAAAATTAGCAAACGTTATGAGTATGATTTCACGGAACATGAACCTGAAAAGACAATGAACCAATTAAAAAATTTCAACTTCTAGTAATTGGGTATTTTGTGTTAAAACCATTTTACATTCAACAAAGTGCAAAATATTTGAATCCCTAATATTTCACATTAATGAGTGTGTGGAGCATGAAAAGTATTTAAGTACCATCACTTGTTACATAAATGTCCCCTTGGAAAATAATCTGAAGTCATATACTAAAATTAAAGATACACATGCCTGAATGCCCATAATTCTTTAGTTTTATTATTTATTATTATTTTTATTTTTGAGATGGAATCTTGCTCTGTCACCCAGGCTGGAGTGCAGTGGCATGATCTCAGCTCACTGCCACCTCTGCCCCCAGGTTCAAGCGATTCTCCTGCCTCAGCCTCCCGAGTAGCTGGGACTATAGGCGCACGCCCTCATGCCCAGCTAATTTTTTGTATTTTTACTAGAGACAGGGTTTCACCATGTTGGCCAGGATGGTCTTGATCTCTTGATCTTGTGATTCACCTGCCTCAGCCTCCCAAAATCCTGGGATTATAGACGTGAGCCACCAGTCCGGCCCAATTCTTGAATTTTTAATATGCCCCCTAAACAAATCCAAGTAACTGTTCTCCAGTATACACACAGAGATCCATTTACTGTGGAACCCCAGGCCATGGAAAATAAGTAGAAATAATACAGTATTTGTCAGCTGATCGAAAGATGACAATTTCTGGTCTATTAAGATGGACAATGCAGTGGAAAAAATGAATTAACTGCAGCTTCAACTTTAAGTTTCTATAATCTGAAAAGAATATCTTTCAGGATAAAAATGCTATAGTGACAATAATTTTTATAATAAATAGTTTTAAATTCTATATATTATGATGTTTTGACATATTAAAAGAACTTTCTGGGCTGCATATGGTGGTTCACTCCTGTAATCCCAGCACTCTGGGATGCGGAGGCGAAGGGTCACCTGAGGTCAGGTGTTCGAGACCAGCCTGGCCAACATTGCAAAACCCGGTTTCTACTAAAAATACAAAAATTAGCCGGGTGTGGTGGTGGGTGCCTGTAATTCCAGCTACTCAGGAGGCTGAGGCAGGAGGATCGCTGGAACCTGGGAGATGGCGGTTGCAGCGAGCCGAGATGACACACTGCACTCCAGCCTGGGTGACAAGAGCAAGACTGTCAAAAAAAAAAAAAAAAAAAAGAACTTTCTGGGTGGGGAGAGACTATCCCTAACGGACAGTGAAATTCTTTTTTTTTTTTTTTCCCATGAGGCATTTTTATTAATTATAAAATATTTACAAATATTTTATTTGTAAATATATGTATCACATCCCTAGAAAAAGAATTCTAGGATTTCCCCTACTGTGTGTTTTCGTCTTGCTTCTTCATGGCCCATGATGTCAACTGAGGCTGTCAATACAATGAAACCAAACCGGAGGGACGGAAGCAGATTATTCTGCCATTTTTCTAGATCTCTGAGTTGCACATCAAATCTGGGGCTGACGACATCACACTTGCTTAGCCTGCCTGTGAGGTTCACAACAATTTTCCCAGCTCTGTGATCGTCAATGATCTCAAATCCGCCAATGTAACCACGCTTCATCATCACAGTGAGAAACCGGACGATGACTTTGGAGCACAGCCTAATAAGCACCTGGCGTTTGCCTCTCTTTTCGGCATTGTTGATGCCCTTGAGAGCATCAGCCAGGACATTCATGCGCGCCATTGTGGCGGCACGGAAAGATGGCAGAAAGAGCGAAATTCTTTCTTAAAGATAGGAAAGGGCTCAGCTGGGAGCATGTCTCTGATATGCACACTAACCATTCCAGATTCTTTTCTCCTCTCTCTGTCTAGTACACCCCAGGTGGCACTAGTCCTCTGACTGATGTCTCTAGGACTTTTAAGTAGAATCATCTTTGTTTTCCTGAACCTCTCCTCTGTCTCTTCTTGTGGCAGCATCTGACCATCAGGTAAAGAAATAAAAGTAAGAATGTATACACTATAATGATATTAATACAAAGTAAAAATCAATAAAAACTCAAATATTAAATGTTTCCATGTATTTTTTCAAATAGTAAATATTTTTAAAAATCAGAATTACAGCTGGGCGCGGTGGCTCAAGCCTGTAATCCCAGCACTTTGGGAGGCCGAGGTGGGTGGATCACGAGGTCAAGAGATCCAGACCATCCTGGTCAACATGGTGAAACCCCGTCTCTACTAAAAATACAAAAAAATCAGCTGGGCATGGTGGTGCGTGCCTGTAATCCCAGCTACTCAGGAGGCTGAGGCAGGAGAATTGCCTGAACCCAGGAGGCGGAGGTTGCAGTGAGCCGAGATAGCGCCATTGCACTCCAGCCTGGGTAACAAGAGCGAAACTCCATATCAAAAAAAAAAAAAAAAAAAAAAAAAAAAAAAAAAAAAAAATTCAGAATTACACAGGCATTAAATCTAAAAAGTAAAGAACAATAAATAAAATATTCGGGAATGTTAACCCTGGGGAAAAGAAGAAATATATTAAGAGCACACATTTTTAGGTGTACAGAGTTATTGGCGTTATTCTATACTTCAGCTGTGTTGTATATGAATATATGGTCTTATTTTCTACTACACTGCATCATATATATATATATATATATATATATATATATATATATATGCTTTTTTTTTTTTTTTGAGATGGAGTCTCACTGTCACCCAGACTGCAGTGTAGTGGTGCGATCTCGGCTCACTGCAACATCTGCCTCCCACGTTCAAATGAATTCTCCTGCCTCAGCCTCCTGAGCAGCTGGGATTATAGGCATGCACCACCATGCCCAGCTAACTTTGTATTTTTAATGGAGATGGGGTTTCTCCATGTTGGTCAGGCTGGTCTCAAACTCCCGACCTCAGGTGATCTGACAGCCTTGCCCTCCCAAAGTGTTGGGATTGCAGGCATGAGCCACCATGCCCGGCCCTGCATCATATATATATTAGGTAGAACATAATTATGAATAACTTTCTTGGGGCAATTTCAATCTTTATATTGTGAACGATTTTAAACATATTAAAACAACAAAAAGATTTTATAGAAAACCATGTGTGTTACAATCCTTAGTGATACCTATGATAGTTCAATTACAGTAAAACTAAATACAATGCACCATGTTTGTGCTTTATGGGGCATAGAGGAAGCCAAAACACACCATAAAAGCCACGCACTGCAGGCTCCTGTGACAAAAGAAAACGTGTTCCTTGGGGCTCTGCTCAGTGGTTTGATCATATCCAGGGCTATGGTAATTTCCAACAGCTGAGTGAAAAGTAACCTTTAATGACTTTCTAGAGCCTGAAGTTTACTTTCTGATGAAGTTCACCTTAAGAAAGCACATTCTCACATGGGGACTTTGCACTCTGTTAATAAACTTGACACATTTGCCAGAAGGGTCACTTTGCTTCTGGGAGAGACATTTGTTGCTCCTCTGGGTGCATCAAAATGATGGATAATAAACAAGGTTGGTGAGGCAGCAGGTGACAAGGTGATCGATGTCCATGGGGAGGTGAAGTCCTACCATCCATCCCTGACATATAGTCATTGCAGGTCAGACCCAGCCTTTCCAAAGCACCTCGCTGTCCTGGGCAAGCCGACTGCCTTTTATAAGGATTCTGCAACACTCAGCTTTGGCAATGACAGGGAGGTATGAAGACCCTTCCAATAGTCCTATTCCTTACTCTGTGCTTCCTTACAGAGACTTCAGTGTGTTTTCAGATGTATTTTGCTACTATTTTGTTTCTGTTATTATATGCCTGTATTTTTTCTTTCCTAATTTAATTGATGTATTCTCATTTGTTCCATATGTGTTTTCACCTTCTTCATTCTTTCATTTCTATTCTTATTTAATATCTCCTACATAACTATCGAAGTACAAGGTGTATCTATTGAGGTAATTGTGTATTTTCTCTTTAAACTACCACTGTAATTAATCACATGATAAAGCTGACAATACTAAACTTTCCTTGCATCTTTGAATAATTCCCTTGGTTATTGCTTCAATCTCTTCACATAGTATGGACTTCACTTTTACAATGATTTTCTTTGGTTTGTTTTTCATTTGATTTATGAAATACATGGACTTGTCAGATTTTTCATACAGTCTTTATTATGTTTTGCTATGATGGTTGTACTAATCTTACGATTCATAGAATACTCTTTTCTCTATCTTTAGAGAGTTTGTAGATCTATTTTGTATCTAGTGTATTTGCCATATTTCACCCTTGAAGCATTCCTTTGAATTATTTATGGAACATTTTTTGCCCACTATTCAATTTTCCCTAGGAGAGCATCGCATATGTATGACTTTCTACAATTCTCCTATATTTTATGGTAAGTTAAGTCCACTAGGAATGTGCCTGTGTCTCCTAACCTTCTTGATTAATGGTACAATTAATCATAATGTTGCTCATTACTTACAGCTCATCTGCTGCTCTCTCTTTGGCATTTTAATCCTGATACTCTGTGTGCTTTTCTGTTCGTCGGTGGTACAGTCTTTCTAGAGGTTTCCTCATTTTAGTTTTATTTGCCATGAGCTGACTTTTGACTTATTTTTTCCTTTCCAGTTTGAGTTGTTTTGTCTTCATCTCCTTTGATCTGTATTGTTAGAGACAGAATGCTTGTTCCCAGGCACTGCAAGGAGAAATTCGCATTCAGACAAAAAGTTCTCTCAGTAAGGCAATTTTACTTTCTGCAGAAAGGGCGCTCCTGTTAGCCATCTTGCCACAAGAGTACAATGAACAAAGGAAAAGCAGGCATATTTATTCTTTACGCATAGAGTCCTTACTGCTGTGTCTGATCTCTGTTGGTTGGAGCCAGACCTCACAATCTAAACTGAACCAGATTGGCTAACAACTTGAAATTTTTCTAAATTTTTACAGGTAATGAAGAATAAAGGAAAAGAACAACTCTAAAGAGTTGGGACATGCCTGTGAGCACGTCCAGCACAAGTATCTTGGCTAAAGTACAAGGACACAGAACGTACTTATTCCTTTATGTCTAACAGCTACCTAAGATAGGGCTGAACAAAGAGTTATCAGCAAAAAGCAAGAAGGCTTTGAAGAAAGTTAGTCTTTAAAATAAACTATTGTTTCTAACATTTATTGTTATTATTCTTTAACAAGAAGGGAAACTTTGAGGAGGAACTGTGTACTTTCTACACATACCGATTTCCAGTCCTCCTTTCTGGAGGTTCACTTTGTGATCTGTTTCCTAGTCAATGTCTTCTTCCAAGGTTCTTATCTAGTCTTCATGGTTTTTTTTCCCCCCAATGGACATTCCAAAGTGCATTTTCCTAACAGAGCTTTTTTTTTTTTTTTTTTGACCAAGTGGTTGCTAAGAAGTGCTTTGGCAGAAAAATATTGGGAACTTTTTTCTCATTTACTTATTCTTTTATTTATAACTAATCATAATTATATATTGATAATTGCTGTTAAATTAAACTTTTTTTTTTTTTTTTTGAGACGGAGTTTCGCTCTCGTTACCCAGGCTGGAGTGCAATGGCGCGATCTCGGCTCACCGCAACCTCCGCCTCCTGGGCTCAGGCAATTCTCCTGCCTCAGCCTCCTGAGTAGCTGGGATTACAGGCACGCACCACCATGCTCAGCTAATTTTTTAAATTTTTAGTAGAGACGGGGTTTCACCATGTTGACCAGGATGGTCTCGATCTCTTGACCTCATGATCCACCCACCTCGGCCTCCCAAAGTGCTGGGATTACAGGCGTGAGCCACCGGGCCCGGCCTAAATTAAACTTTTGAAATATGTTGACACTTACATCAATATCTGTTGTATTTACATTGACTAATTGGCTCACATGTGCCTGAGAAGGAAAGATGGGTATTTTATAGTAAGTGAGTATGCTGTTTTTATAGCAGGTAGATGAAGGTTATGAAATGACTCGATTGAATTTTTTACGTTCCAGCCAACGTTTTGTCTGTAGGTTCTGTTTATCACTAAAAGACTTTGATTAAAATCTCACACTACAATAGTGCATTGTCCTATATCTTCTTATAATTCTGTGTTTTTACATTTTATATATATATAGATGCTATGTGTATTTGTATACATGCATTAAAACCTTTTACTGCTATTGAAATGTCCTTGTTAATATCCAGTAATTTTGTTCCCTTAATCTTTGTTTTGATTTTATTAAATGGGCATTAGCTTTCTGTTGGATGAGTTTGTACAGAATTGTCAGGCTCCCTTTATTGTTTTGAAACTTTTTGTATCTTTTTTCGAATGTGTTTTATTTAAAGTACATGCGGTTGTTTTGAAGCTTAGTTTGACACTTCACAGTCCTCCAGATTTCTTTTGATTTGCATTTGAATAATATATCTATTTTACATTCTATTACTTCTTCTTTTTTTTTTTTTTTTTGAGATGGAGTCTTACCCTGTTACCCAGGCTGGAGTGCAGTGGTGCAATCTTGGCTCACTACAACCTCCAACTCCTGGGTTCAAGTGACCCTCCTGTCTCTGCCTCCCAAGTAGCTGGGACTACAGGCCCAAGCCACCACGCCCAGCTAATTCTTGTATTTTTAGTAGAGACGGGGTTTCATCATGTTGGCCAGGATGGTCTCAATCTCCTGACCTCGTGATCTGCCCACCTTTGCCTCTCAAAATGCTGAGATTATAGGCATCAGCCACCATGCCCAGCCACATTCTATTACTTTTGACCTACGTGTGTCTTTGTATTTAAAACGTGAATCTAT